TTCATCTGGTCTGAAACAAACTGGTCTGAAACTTCAGATCATCTACAGTTGCTCTGAGTTTAAATTCATTAAATTAACCAACTGAAGGTCTTATTTTGGGGGTTGATGTTTGGTTGGGGTTTTTTGGGGTTTTTTGGGTCTTTTTCTCATATTGATGTGTTTGGATAGGTTTGTTTAGACAATTTCTCATTATTTCTGGAGATGTGTGGCTGTACAGAGTGAGGAGAGTTATGTGCAGTGGTCAGAAGGCTGCCATGGAAAGGCCTCTCTCCATCATCTTACTGTTTTTGTAAGGTGATGATGTGATGAAGCATCTGTGAGGGAAGGTCACTGAACCTGAGAACTCAAGAGGTCTTCTTTTGCTAAAGCTGAGTCCTACTAAATGGAGTTGTAACTAAAAGTTGGCTTGTTTCACTACTGGAAAGTACCTGAAGTTCTTTTCACAAAACATATGGTATATATGGCATATGCAGGGCTTTGCCTAAAGTCAATGAACGTATTTTGGGATTTTGTATCTCCTGCCATCTCGTTTTCTCTCTAAAAATACCTCCTCCTCAGGTCCAAGGATACCTTTGCTGCAAGAGCACTTGCAGCAACAACAGATGGTCCCTCCTGTGCACAGAAACTTTACCAGGAACACAGATGCCTCCTTGAATGATTTAGCTCCTCATGGGCAGAAATTAAAGCCTTTGGACAGATGAGGAAATCTTTCAAACAGCTACATACATTGGTCAGAAAGTGATTGCTACTATTTTAGTGATGGATGAAGGATCACTGAGGTAGAGCTGTCACCCACCCACTTTGAAGTTCCTGCCCATTGGTATGTAGTGGAAGTGGCAGAGTCACCAAAAAGCAAAGCCTTTCCTCCCTGCACAGACTCCTTTCTGGGAGAGCAGCAAATGAAGACAAACACACGTGTGCACATACAGAGATAACTGTTGACATCAAATGGGTGGCATCTAATGATCTAGATATGGCATGCACTCAAGTCTACTTCTACTGGACTCCTGTCTGGGAATCAGGTCCAAATTGCAGACATGGAAATGTTGCTGTTGAGATGTTCTCTTAGCTGTCCTTGAGGCCAGTGGAGATCTGCTCTATACAGCCAGTGGGTCTGTGGTGGGATTCAAGAGGTGAAAATGGTCCTAGAAATGCTCATCCATACATAGAATCCATCCAAATATCCAAGTTCCTGTTATACTTTCCTCCCAACAAAGGCTGTTGAGAGCTTTTCTTATAATAGGGTTTTTTTTACTGATGTGCCAGAGAGCAAAGTTTTATCCATCTAGTCCTTCCCAGGAAGTTTGTTACTGTTCGCAGTGATGTTGAAAGCACTTCTGAGTGAAATTCATCACACATTACCACAAGATTTGTGTTGAAATGGGAAAGAATGAGGAGTTAAAAGCTGAAAGGCCCTTTCTGTCCTGTTTGGTAACAGAATTTATTTTGTGAGGAAAAAAGAAATTATTGAAGAAAAACAGAAGGGAAAGAAATAATATATCCTGCTGCTGCAACTTTACAAATTAATGGCAGGAGCTCAAATATAAAAAATTTATACCCAAAGGTTTTACCATGTCACTGCCACACACAGTGTTTATTGTGCTGTTTGCTGCGCTTGCATCACCAAAATCTCTTGTATATGAAAACAATGTTTTGCTAAAAATTCAAAAAGTATTTGAGTAACAGTATTCTTCCCATCGATGGTATTTTCCAGCTATAGTGTCAAACAGGGAGTTATAGTGGGAACATGAAATCATTCTGGAAAGAAGAAACAGCTCCTGGAGGAAGGGAAGAAGCAAACTGAGAGAAGAAGGAAAAACCTTACCACAATGAAAGGCAATCCATTTGCAAAGAGGTAAATACCTCACTTGGGAAGAAGAATAACAAGAGGATGGCCCAGGAAGCAAGACTTTCTTAATGAACAGGATTATACCTATCTGAACTATTCCCATGTAAAAAAGTATTTTCTGAACTTCAGATGAGGAAAACATCAGAGACATCCCACAGGAAAAAGTATTTTGGTGAAAGCTGCTTCTAGCTCAAGTACTGGGACATTTGAAGGTCTGAAAAAACCTTGAAACAGAAGAAGCTGGAACAGATTTCCAAGGGTTATCTCCCAGAAATCATGATGCTTTTTAATCCTGATTTCTACTACAGTCCTTTTGAAACATCTCATTCTTCATTCCTGTCCTCAATTTCTGGCCGGATGATTGATTTTGTCATCAAAGAAGCTGGATCACTGAGATGAGTTTGGCTCAAGGTCTCACAGAGAGGTTGCTGTAACTTGGTGAAAGATTCTACAACCAAACCAAACCAAAACAGCCATCTCTAAATTTTAATACAATTTCAATAGAAAAATAGGCACAACTTCTCTCAGTAAAGTGCCTCTCACATCCTGTAGGATGAGGGACTGAGTTGCCCTAAATATATTTACAAGGCGTATAATTAAAATATTTGGTACTTACACAGAGAAGGTGTTCAGATGACCAAAATTTCAAAGACTAGGAACGCAAATCCAGTTTAAAATACCTACTCTAAAGACAGACCTGATTTTCTAATCCACTTATCCATCACTTCTTCCAAACACCTTTAGTGAGACCAACCCATTTAAAAAAGTCAGGATACTCTTCTAAAGCAAGCTTTCAGGTAGATTTAGGATCACAGATTTTGTTTTGAAAACCGTTTAGTCTTGGCTGTATCCATGCTCAGCTTTAGCTCCATCAATTTTTTTGTTTCAAATAACACAAGGTACAGTAGCACTTACACTGGCTGACAAATTTAGTCATAGAACTGTAATGACATAATCTGAGAATGTGTCTAACATTTAGTGTAAGTACTATACATGTCTTCCAGATGGTTTCCCTAAGCCAGGAGGGGAGCTAGCATGGGTAGTAAAACCTTTGGATGGGTTTTATTATGCTTGAGAAGCAACCAGCATGAAAATGAAAGAAAGTACCAGTTATGGCTCATACTCTGCCAGCAGCCCAGTGACTCCTTCCAGCTCCACGCAGCATCACCGGACTTTCAGCTAATGGTTCCAAACTTTGTGAAATTCTGTCACTGTAGGTGAACAATGGATCACAGTCACCACTGGGCATCAGAGACTCAGCTGTCATAAGGACTGCACTTCTCTAAGTGTTGTATCTCTGCTATAGAGTTTTAAAAATGCTAAGTTTTCTAGTAGCATGACCACAATTGCTGGATATCTTTGGAGCTTTATTTTTTTGATGGTAATAGATGGTAACAGAGAAGAATAACAAGAGTCTGAACAAGTAAAGAAATATTTTTTTTTCAAATTCATTTGAAACGGATCTACACCAGCTTCTGACTTGTTAGCCATTAGTTCTGCACTCTTACAGATGTCTGCAGAAAACTACAACCGAGAGTGTTTTCAGGCTTGTGGAACAAAATGATATAATTTAGTCATTTTCTGTGAGATAATAATGATGTTCTAATTGAAAAATGTACTCTAATTACCCTACATCTTTATAAGCCCGCCTCAGGAGCACAGTAAAAGAACAAGTGGCAATATTTTTACTGTACTATATGAGAAAAGGCTCTCAAACTTTTATTTGTATCACTTGATGCATGTTCAGGAGGTGGAAATCTCATAAAAGCAAAATAATTTCCTGCTTTTGTCTGAGCCAAAGTGAACTTAAGCCACGTAAATTAGAGACAGACTTTGAGGTGGGACTCACGCATACACCTGGGTGCCCTGTGTCCTGGTATGCATTGGGATATCATCACTGACACCCATCACTCTCATCTCTGTCAAGCCCCAGGATATGAGTAGAGGAGCTGGGCTGGGTCTCCGCCGATCTATCAGTAATGAGCAGTGAACCAAAGCTGCAGTTGCCAGCTGGTGTCCTGCACTCCTGACTGCACCTCTGTAGCGGGTTGACCCTGGCCAGTCGATAGGTACCCACTAAAGCCACTCTCTCTCTCCCCTCTGCAACTGGACAGAGGAGAGAAAAAAAACCAGCTAAGGGTCCATGAGTAGAGATAAGAGCTGGGAGAGGTGAGTTACTGATCTCCTTCACAGGCAAAACAGACTCACAGTGGGGATATTACTTAAATTTATTACTAACAGGATCAGAACAAAAGAGTGAGAAGTAAAATAATCTTGAAAACACCTTCCCCCTACCCTCTTTCTTTTCATGTTCTCCCTCATACCCCGCCAGCGGTGCAGGGGGACGGGAAGTGGGGGTTACGGTCAGTTGTTGTTTCTGCCACTGCTCAGGGAGAGGAGACCTTCCCCTGCTCCCATGGGGTCCCTCCCATGGGAGACAGTCCTTGATGGACCTCTCCAGCGTGAGTCCATCCCTCGGGCAACAGTTCTTCACAAACTGCTGTCCCATGGGTCACTCCTCCATGGGATGCAGTCCTTCACAAATTAGCTGTACCGGTGTGGGTCCCCCACAGGGGCCACAAGTCCTTCCCAGGAAAAGCCTGCTCCAGCGTGGGCTCCTTTCTCTGTGGGCTGCAGGCCCCTGGCAAAACCCTGCTCCAGCCTGGGCCTCCCACGGGGTCACAGCCTCCTTCATACATCCACCTGCTCCAGCATGGGCTCCTCCATGGGCTGCAGGTGGGTCTCTGCACCCTGATGGTCCTCCATGGGCTGCAGGGGCACAGCTGCTCCACCATGGTCTGCACCACGGGCTGCAGGGGCCACAGCTCTGCTGCCTGAAGCACCTCCTGCCCCTCCTTCTGCACTGACCGTGGTGTCTGCATTGTTGTTCACATGTTCTCACTCTGCTCTTCCCTGGTTGGAATTCTTTCTGTTCAACAACCTTCTGTTCTTAAATACGTTATCCCAGAGGTGTTACTATCACTCCTGATTGGCTCAGCCTTGGCCAGTGGCAGGAAGCCTGTCCTGGAGCCGGCTGGCATTGCCTCCAACAGACAGGGGAAACTTCTAGCACCTTCTAACAGAAGCCACCCCTGTAGCCCCCTGGCTGCCAAAACCCAGTCACAGAAACCCACTACAACCTCCCACCAGCATGATCTCATCAAGAAGCTGCAGGCTGAGACAACCTCTCAGGAGATTCAGTTTTTCAGGACGCAATGAAGACCTTTTGGGAGCAGATTCAGGGTTTTGGGGAAAAATTAGAGTCTTCAAGGTAGCAATCCAAGCTTTCTAGGTAGAAGAAAAGTCCATCTGGGAGGGGGAGGCTGCCTTGTAGGAGGAAGAAAAGGCTATTCGGGAGGACACAGAAGCCTTCTGGAGGATGTATCATGACTTCTGGAAGGACCATAATGCTTTCTGGAAGAGAGATAAGAAAGATCAGCTCCTCTGGGAGAAAGACAGGGTTCTGGATGAGAGCAATGTTTTCTATGGGAAGAAGAATCTCTGTGGGCAGATGAAACAGCTCTCCTGGAGAAGCAGGCCCTTCATGAAAATTAAAAAGCCTTTAGGAGGATAAAATACTGATCTGTGTGGAGGCCTTTGGTCCTGAGAGAAGATATCTCCAGGGATTCTACTGTCCACAGAGGAAAAGAATAAATTTTTCTCCTAGGCTCTGAAACGTGGAAAGACACACATACTGAAGTGGATACTTTAAGTAGTGCTACATTTCAACCAGTTCTCTGAAATGACATCTGTTGTCCTTGGTATAAATTAGAGGAGGATTTTTAATGTGATTTGCTTTAAAGCCATTGCACTTATGTTTTCAGGCCATTATTTATTCTTTTGAGGTTCTGTAGCCTGAAGAATGGGGTACACCTCTGGTTTCCTACATTTCACCAGGACACATTTGGGAGGGTAAAGCCACAAGAAGGTTAGATCTTAATGCCTGAGATCATCTTCTGGAGCTCAGAGCAGCTCACCTAACTCAGTGCAGTATATATCAGCTAAATAAGACATAATGGATAATAGATAAATGGTAGCCATCAGATCACCCATATTTAAGAGTCACAGTTAACACTTGGGTCCTAATAAGACAACCTGTGCTGTTCCACCAGGTTAGGTGAAACATTTAACTTCCTGCTGCTCTTGGGACCATAATGGGAACACTGACCTGCTTGGGGGAGCCCTCCTACATCTGCTGTCTGACAGCAGCTTTGGCATCAGCCTTGCTGACATGGATAGAGGGCAGGGAAGAAGTGGGAAGGATTACAAAAGTCAGCATGGGAAAAGATGCAAGCCGAAGAGAAAGTTGGCAGCAAGTCCCTCAGCAAGAGGGAAATAAATTTATCAGTGTGCACATGCATGTGTGCTTGTAAGAGCGGGAGAGGGTGCACACAGGGACTGGAATTATTATTCACCTGCTGAGCTCCTACTGCCAGTGCAGGTACAGGATCCTCTAACAGAAAATCCTCAACAACTGCAGTGCAATGTGTGGTCAATATTTAGCAATATTTCATAGAGTCATAGAATAGTTTGGGCTAGAAGGGACCTTTAAAGGTCACCTAGTCCAATCCCCCTGCAATGAGCAGGGACATCTTCATGCAGATCAGGTTTCTCAGAGCCCCGTCCAACCTGACCTTAACCACTTCCAGGGATGGGGCACCTACCACCTCTCTGGGCAATCTGTTCCAGTGCCTGACCACCCTGATTTTATGTACTGTAAGTACAGAACCAGTGTCTTCTGCCACAGCTTGGCACAGGAACTGCAGTTTTCCTCTTGAGAGACCCAACTCAGATGCTTTATATTTTCAAAGGTTGAGCTGTAAAGGCTGATCTAGAGACAAATCTACATTTGACCATCTGTACCTCTGAGAACATGGGGGAGAAGAGCAACAGTGAAAAGTATGAGGCATTGAATTTTTCTCTGGAATGGCAGCATTAGTAACTCATTCTCCTTCTATACAGGATTTTAACACTGAATAGACTCAAGGACAAAATGTAAGAAGCCTTTACAATTGCTGTTGAAGAATCTGACGACTTCTGCAACTGTCAGGCATTCTTAGGCTGTCACTCAAGCCTGTCACTCAAGTTCAGTCCTTTGTGATGAGCTGAAGGATAAGGCTGCCTGTCCTGTTTAATTTTGTTCAGGTTAAATTATGCCCTGTGTCTTTCCTGACAAATCCATGAATATTTATTGTTCAATGAATAACCAGCCCATACAAAAAAAGGCCAGCTGTTTCAGATAGGGTAGGAATGTTTTGCAACCTTTACCTTACATGGCAACAATAGATTAATAATAACAGAGATGAAAATGACCTATTAGACCATTCAGTGCGACTTCCTGCAAATTCAGGGCTCTTACACATTAGAGCTTTATCATTAGATGCTATAGAGAGAAAGAACCTTTCAGAAAATAACAGCATTCAAAAAGCGCTTGTCACTTAATAAATTTTAATGTCAAAAAGCCAAGAATTATCTCAGTTATTCAAATCCACACATCAAATTAACATCCATTTAAACTAAAATTAGGTATGCTCTCTCTTGCAAAGAACTTGAAACACATGAAATGCTCTTAGGAATGCTCCTAGTCACTTCTTCTTTCACAGTAGAGCAGAGCAATGTTTCTCTGGTGAGAGTGCTGTCAGTGACAATACAACTGTTGAGAAGTTTAAGGCATTACACAGTGCAGAACAGAGGAACCAGAAGCTTAGCCATAGAAAATCATATACCAATATGGTTTTAGATTGCTGGTAGCTCCCCCAAAAATACTCCATCCTGCCTGGTAGCTTCAGAGTGGCCTTTGATTAGGTGGCAATGATGGAGAGAGACCATATGCTTTCCGGAGCTGGGTATTCAAAGTGGGAAGTTAGACGCCACCTGCTCTGTGTCCTGCAGCTCTGGACTGAGGATGAATTTCAGTCATGAAGGAAATCTCTGCTAACTCTCTGGAGTTGTAAAGTAGTGAAGGGGACAAATAAAATAATTTTTATAACAAAAAGCGCAGTTACATTTATCACCTCTGCAATATGCATGTGGAGGCTCTCAAAATGCGACAGCGTGAAAAAATACACCTCCCTTAGAAGTTCAAGTCTGCTGATCTGGCACAGGTTGGCTATAGGGACCAGGAAAGAATTGTACATGTCTAAAGACCTGAAGATATTTGAAGCATGAACTCACCTAGAGTGGAAGGACCTACAGAAGCTTCCAAGCCTACCTGTGCCTCAAAAGCAGCCATACCTGTAGTGCTCTGTGCAACCACTTCTCTAAGCTGTTTTTCTTGTTTAATTCCCAGCACTAGTGTTGCACAACCATCACTTTCTCTCTAGGACTTGACTTACATTGATTTTTTTCATGATGTCTGAGGTGAATCTCCCTAATTGCAGTTTTGACTTCTTATCTGTAGTCCTATCCACTGTCTGAAGCCCAGTATTGTCTTCTCTATCCAAGTCTCCCTAGATTAACCCACCCCATTTGCTATCCTCCTTCACTGACCAGGTGCTTTGGGTAACTGCAAGGCTTCTGTCCTCCCTTCTTCACCACTTCCCCTCTCCAAAAGACTGAAAAAACAAGGTAATTTGCAGCATCCAGACACAAAACCTAAGATGTCAAAAGTCCAGGTCACAATGCATGTTTTGCAGAAGGGATTCAGCCAGGAGTGATACAGCTGAGCCCTTCAGATACCAAACATCAGTGCCGAGCTGCACTGCTGCTGGTGGGTCCTTCTGCAGAGCGATGCCACTGCATCGAGCCTTGTCCTGCACCCCAGCATGTCTCAGTCCCTGTGAAAGCAAACCTAGCACTTACTCAGCAGCACAGAGTCAGGCAGAACAGCCACTGATGAAACTTCAGGCCATAACCAATCTTCCTGTTGTCGTTGAAATAAAGGGCTATTAAAGACAAAAGTGGAACAATTAGGGTAATTTCAAAGAAACCCAGAGATAAAAGCCAAATACAGGGAAACATAGTGAATCCAAACAACTAATATATGTTGCCAATGTAATTAATTTAAGGTCAATGAGCTGTGTGCACTCAGGAAAGGTTTGAAGCCTTAGCAAGTCTGCACAGACTGATCCGACAATGAGATACAGAAATTTGATGGACTAACGGGGCTGCATGCCCAGAGATCACCTGCTTTCTGGTGGATGTGATGCAGTTCTTGCTTTCCTTCAAAAAAAATATGGAAATACTATAGAAAATATTACAGAAAATATATGTCGTGGCAGGAAGGTCCCACTTTATCCACACTGAAAGGCAGCCCTGCCTCAGTCACCAGCCGGTGAAGATGTTGATTAATCTGATATACATATTTCGAGGTGATATTCAGGAGCCTTTTCTTTTAAAGTTTATGCTCAAGCAATTCACAGCAGATTATTTTCTGTTCAAGGCCACAAAAAAGGTGGAGGTTATGGACTGCAGCTTTGTGCCTTTAAAACCACAGAACCCAAAGTCTTACAGAGGGATGACAACTCCCACACAAAGCAATAAAGAGATTGAGTCAGTAGTGCTAAATCAGCTTAAGTATTTGAATGAGAGAAGGAAATAGCTCCTGAGCTCACCTGCACAATTTTGAAAAGAAACATTGTCATCAGAAAACCTTTCTGACACAGATGTGGAGCTAAATTGTGGGAGAAGCAGAACATGAAAAATGGTAAAGAGTCATTTAACTCCACTGACACGTCCAGATGCATCATAAACCAGAACTGTAAGAGTGACAAGACAAAATTAAATTTATTCAGTATATGTATGTGTATGTATAGCTCTAATTTTCAACTCTGTGTGACAGTTATTGCATAGGAAAAATGTAGAAAAACTGGGAGGCAAGACTGTGAATAATGGGAAATTGGAGGTATGGATACCATCCAGGCACATATATAAATTCTACTGCTGTTCTGCCAAGAAGTCTGGCTGAATTGTTGAAAAGTCAGTGCAGAGGGTTTCCACAGAAATTGAAGGAAGAGATAAAGTACTGTGACTGAAAATACCAGATGGGAAAAAATAACTACACTTGCATCCTTCAGAAATTAACTTCTAATGTGGGTTAAAGAGATGAAACACAAAGAAACTGTATTTTTAAAACAACTGTATAATGCTGAAAATCTCTCTGTTTCTCCCTTTGTCTCTCTGTTTCTCCCCTCTTTTCTTCTTTTTAAAATATTTTATTTATTGAGTGAACTAAGAGCACGACCTACAGAGAGAGAGGGAATTCCAGATTCTTGACATTTGGGGATTTTTGGAACGGTTTTGGTCTTGATTCAGCAATTCACTCAATCTATGTGGTCTCTCAGACCATCTGAAATGTTCCAAAGTCCCATATACATCCATATTCACAATTAAGACTGGGATTCTGCTATTGCTGGTTCACAGGTGGGGTGATGAATTTGAGCACAAGCACACATCCTTCATGATGTGGGCTTTTATCAAAGTAAAAGACAATACAGATTTGTACCCAGGATCTTCAAAAAACACTGTGGCAGCCCTGGAGTTGTAAAGATAAGCACAGATTGTAGCTTGGATCTTCAGGTTTGCAATACGTGAAACAGAACAACCAAACAAACAAC